ACTACTGTTATTAATGCTATTATTTATTATTATTATTGTTATTATTATCATTATTCTTATTTCACTTTCATATGACGTATTGCCTATAGACTGCTAACGGTTGAATGAAACTTTAGCATTATATGTACTTGCGTAATATGTTATATACCTTCCAGTAAATTAATTAATCAATTTAATTTTATTTAAATTACATATTTGACATTCCTTAATTATAGCAAAATTTACCTGTATTTACTTATGTAAATACCAGTAAATCTTATGTTTGATAATTCGTTAATTACTACTAGTTTAATTAATACTATTGATTATCGGTTAATTATTGCTTTTTCACATATAGCAAAATGATGAATTAAATATTATCGTTTTAAACTTTGACTAACCTCATTTAATATTATCATTTTAAACTTTGACCTACCTCATATCAATCCGTCTTCCATCATTATTCATCATACTTCCATAATTTGCACTAATCTGATTTCCAATACGATCACCACTAGTTGATGAAATTAATCCATCATAATATGATCGATGTTCATTGATATATTCTCGTTGACTTTCTTCACGATGTTCTCGATAACATTCATGTCGTTCTTTTCGATGCAATTGTCCACCAGTTATCTCTGGTTCACAATGTACTTTAATTGGTCTTATCTATAAGTTAAACGAAAAAAAAAAGGTAAGTAATTAATTTTATAGTATATATTTATTTCCAATACCGTTTAAATCATTTTAAATTCGATATTTAATTGATTTTTCGTATTAATGCTTAAATTTATTTAAATTTAGAGTAAAATAATAATAGTACATAGTATGAAGGAGCAGAACGATCAAGCATTGTTTCAACAGCCATTGAGATCTGAAAATTTAAAATTCAAATCAATTTCCATATATATATATTTATTATTTGTGTCGAAAATGAGTGTAAATTTCTCATCAATATGATTAATATTGGAAATGATTTGAAATGGTTTTAAGATAATCTAAAATCTTCAAATTATGTTTTAAAATTTATTTAATTCTAATTATGCATAATGTATGGCTAGAAATAAAAAAGGATTTAATATTTCACTTAAATTTGAAAAACAATATTTGAATCAATTTTTTTGTCATAAATATAGGATCCAGAACTCAAAAAGCATAACACCAGGTGAGTTGTTGTATGGCGTTACCAAATTCATCATGCATAAGTTTAAATTCGATATCGAAAAAAAAAGAAAACGAAAAATTGAAGCAAATGTCTTGCAAAGTTAATATAAAGTGTTTAAGTTAATAAATTAATTAGCACAAATTAATGAAGGATATAGTTTTCTCGAGATCCTATTTTATTTTCAAATCGCAAAATCTAATTAATTATTTCAATAATTTGATTCATCATTTCTATAGCTTCATTAAATGGTCAACAATTCAATAAATTTTATGAAATTATTTAAAATACCAAAGAGATAAAGCAAGCCATATTGTATTTGAAAAATCAAAATGAATGGAATTGTATTTCAAACGATAAGCATCAAATAGTAATTTAAAATTTTTAATAAGCCAATATTTGATAAGTTTCGAGCTTCGTAACCATAATTTTGCTTTATGAAACATTTAGTTTTCATTAATTGATTAATTAGCAGGAATTAAATAATTGCTAATTAAGCAATTAATCCTTGTAACTTTTAGCATTAATAGGTAAGCCATTTGAGGCAAGCAATATAAATTGTTTAAAATAATTTTCATTTCCTGAACGGTATAATTGAAAAAAAAATATAAGAAAGAAGGAAAAAAAATAGAGAAGCAAAAAAAAAAAACGAAAATTTAATGCAAAAAAAAAATTAAAATTAGGGAACTTAAAATTGGGGTATTTAAATACCAAATCATATTGATAAACCTCGACTTGCATGTATCCTCCTCCGCTCTTGTCACCATCACCAATACAACTATCACAACCCTGTCTTACCTGAAATGCAAATTTTTTATTAATCCACTGAATTAATTATCTCCATCAACATATTCTTTAATTTTTTTCCCATTTTTGCAAAGATTTAAAAATTTATCAATTTTTTAGAAGTATTTAGATTGAATACTTCAATATTAAATTGAAGTTTACAAATTAATTAACTTCATCACATTGAAATACCATACTGATACTGTTGAAATTCAAATTAGACAAATGATTGAAATGCAAATTCCTAATTATCAAGTAGGAATATTGAAACATTTCTGGCCATTAAAGTGGCTTATGATAAGGAAATTGACAAAAGAAAAATTAATTTCGAATATAAATTTCAAATTTTGAAAAAATTTTGCAACTTTTATTTTTGGTTAATTTTTTGATTTTGATTAAATAAAAAAGCAGAAATAATAATCATTTCTTGGAACAGAGGAAAAAAATTGTAAACAAATAAATTTGTAATTAAATTTCAGAACTGGAATTTTATTGCTGTAAAATAAACAGTTGAAACCATTGTTCAAATGAAATTTCAAGTTTAAAATGTTACTATTTCAGTATTGACCGAACATTTGCAGTTTATTTCAATTAATTTAGTTCAACAATATTGATTTGCATATTTGGCAATAATGAAATTAAAATTGAATTTTTAAAATTTGTTACATTAAATTATTTAATATTACTTTTTCTTCAGAAAATTTAAAACTTTTTTCGTTTCCTCCTTATTCAAATAGTGATATTTTGAAAAAATATCCAAAATACAGAATGTTAAATCCAATAAATTGCAAAAAAAAAAAAA